TATATATATATATATATATATATATATATATATATATATATATATATTTGCAATCTAAAATTAAAGTGATTCATTTTCATAAACTCATTATAAGTTAAAAAATATATGCAAAAAATATAAATGTAAATTAAACAAATATATTATAATTTTTTGCCTTTTCCTTATTATTTATTCTTTATACAATACTTACATTTAATCTTTTGTAGTCAATGTCTTTTATTATCCAAAATATTGAAGAAAATAAATACTACTAAAATATAATCAACATTTATAGAAACTATAGTACATTAATAATATTTGACACCAACATTGCATACGCACATATCTATATCATAATTTTCATACTAAATATTATCTGAGATGTTGATTACAATATCATATACATGTTTTATATTACTTGAAGAAATTAAAATTTATCTGTATGATAACAAAATTAGAGAATGTTAAAAATGAAACATACTGAATTAGAATTTGGATGAAGTAACATATTGATGTTAAATATTTATGGTATATTGAATAAGAAGAATATTAATTTGTATTTAAAAGAATTGCAGAAAAAATCCCAAAAATTTATACAATTTAATAAATCATATTAGATTTATTTTTTATAAACATGTTCTGTTTGAGAGCTCCTTACATGTGTCTGTGGAGAAACCAAATATAAATAAGCAATATATGCTACAATAAAATAAAAAATTGAAAAAAAGTAAAAATAAGTGTACAAAAAATATTATATAATAAGAAACGTTAATTTACACAGAACAAAAATATTTTCTAGAAAAATATAAATTATATATTAACATAATTACATATTTGTTATTATCAAAATAAATTATTTGCCGATTGCACAATAATATAACATTTTTAAAAATATATGATTTGATAATACTATACCATAATTTTTTTAAATTTTCTAAATATAAAATATATAAAATTGCAAAACACTTATACATTTTATTTTCTTTTGATGATATTAACAAATTACATTAAATGAAATTAAGTAATGTGCACTATTATTAGATGCAAGTGCTATGTAGCAAAATTTACACTAACAATTAAAAATAAATATATTTAATATAATTATATAGTGAAAAATATTCATATACAATGTATAGAAAGCAGATATAAAAGATTATTTTTTTTGCAGAAATTATTTGTTACTAATAGCATAAGTAGTGTGCAAGCGGCAATTTTTAAATGGCATTTTTGACATGAAAAATTGATGTCTGAAAAGTAATTTGGTTTCTCAGATTACATGCAATAACATTCATTAAAAGATAAATGAAAAGAAGATCCTTCTCCAATATAACAATGAATAAATAAAATATAATTAATATAAAAAAAAAAATTACAGAAATTATACTGCATAATATTTATCAGAAATCTTTTAATATTAATAATGTTGTTGAAATAAAATGAGATTTAAAAAGATTCAAAAATTTAAGAACAATTAATTAAACACTGAAAATTATGTTTAATGTTCAATTCAAAACAATATATTTAAAAATGATAATAATTTTATATAAATCTTTATATAGATCAAAATTCTATTAAAGTTTTTATTATTGTTATAATTATTTTTTTTATATTATATTAATACTTTCAAAAAAATCACAATATGTACATTTTCAAAACCCGCTATTATGTACTACATGTCTTTTGATTTTCATAATTTATATTTATATTAAAATATATTTATATTGCACTATAATATTAAGAAGACAAGAAATAAAGCACAGATAATATTATATCTAATATTTATAAAAGAAAAAAATATATTAAATAATTTAAAATTAACACAAATATAGAAACTATAAATATGAAAATTCATTTTCAAATAATAAATAATTATTAAAAAATAAACACTGTACATCAAATTTTTTAAATGAAAAAATAAATTTTTTTTTAAAATTGTAAAAAATTGAGAAATATTTACTATTAACTTGTTTACTATTGATATAAAGAAATTATAACTATTATTAAAAAATTTTATATACAAAATATATAATTATTTTTAATATTTAATCCTACTCCTAAATATAATATATAAAGCATTTAAAAATAATCTTCTCAAAATATTATTTTCAATGGCTTCTGTCTCGTTACAATGTTCTTAACGGAATAAATCCTTCCATTCCAATGATTCTTAGGTCCTCATCATCA